GAAAATTGCTGCCACTAAAGCACCTTTCAAGGGAGGTGAAATTGCTGACCCAGAAAAAATACAGAGAACCTTCACGGCGTGCATAAAGGAGATAAAACACCTCAATTACTGGGGGCGCTTTAGGTTCCTAAACCTGTATTTCCCCCGGAACGCAGGCGGGGGAGATACCGATTATATACACCCGGAAAATCCCAGAGGACTAGTACCCAACTTGGGACACGAAAAACACTCGCTCAAAGCAAAAAATTTGGCGACGATGCCCATCCCCCCAAAGAAAACGGGGGGTCACTAGCACGTTAAAGACCATACATAAATTCAGGGCCCGAGACGTTCAACTGCCTCCCAGCATAATAAGGGGGATTTCCAACGAACCCCCCGGCAGTCTTCAAGCTGGCACTGGCAAGCCCTAAAGTCGGTTCCTGACCCCGAGCGTGGCTCGTACGTTGGTTTGCGTGCAGCCAGCGCAACAGCCTGGTTATAGGCTCTGACCACCAGGAGGGCCCGGTCACAGACCCGGGGCCCCGGGGGCGTTGACCCCCGGAACTCTCTCCAGGAAACTCCAGAGACAAAACAGTGGCCCAAAAAATTCACAACTAACCCACGAGTCAAAAACCGTGGGGAAATAATTTACAAATAAGCACGAGTCACAAAACCGTGGCCAGAATAATTACAACTAACCCCAGAGTCACAAAACCGTGGCCCGAATAATTCACAACAAAAACCCACAGGTTACAATACAGGGCCAGAATAATTCAAACAACCCACAGAGTTAAAATCAGGGGCCCAGAATAATTCACAACTAATCCCCCCAAAAACGGGCCAGAATAATTCACAAAAACCCCAGAGTAACAATACCGTAGCCAGAATATTCACAACAAACCCCAACAGAGTCCAATACCGTGGCCAAATAATCACAACAACCCCGAGTTCAAACAGGGGCCCAGAAAATTTCCAACAACCCACATCACAATTATTCCCCTTGAAATTTACAATAATGTTAATAAACGATCATCTACCATGTTTTTGGTCCCCGTCGTCCCTGATAATTTTTCCTCCCCCCAATGCGTGGACACTTAAGAACTAGCCCCTTTATTGTGAAAGTAACTTTTAAAAAAAAATAAGTGGTGAAGGACGGACAGTACCTTAGTTCATGAAGAAAACCCCGGGGAAATCATAAAAAAAGAGGGGGAAGGACCCAGCAGCGTAGAGCCTGCTAACACTGCGGATACACAGATAAAGTAACCTTAAAGGAAAAAAGCAGTTAGAGTTGGTAAATGATGAATAGTCTGAACTTTTTATGATCACAAATTCTTACGAACCTCTGAATGTTTACATGATGTAAGGGTGATTTCAAAAAATTCGAGGTTGGAACTGGTTTTAGGCACTGAAATATTTTTTTAGCTTCCTTTCATTTCCAGGGAAGCGGTCTATAAAACATTTTCTAATTTTGAAAGTAAAATTTTTTACAAATAACCGAACATAGCAGAATGACACTTCCGACGTTTCTGTCCAATTTGGAGTCTGTGTGACTACTTGAAGCTCCAAGTAGGACCGAAACGTCCTCATAAGTTTCGTTCTCTTATTTGCGGGTTGTGTAATGTTCCAGACACGTTATTGGGCCTTACATTTTTCACATATACATCTATTTTTCCATATAATAAAAATGCTACTCAAACGAAAAACGCAACATGATCAGCAACAATTAATATTAATTGGTAAATAACACAATATATATGACACAGACGATTATTACCATTACATTGTTTATCATCATTGCTCATTTACCTTCATTTTATAATAATAAAGATAATATATTTATTAGCAGCAATGACAACGTCTTCTAACGCAGCAACTTTCTCATAAAAACAAATTGTAATCAGTTGATAAGTACAACAACACTTGAGAATATCATTCTGGATTCAAACTGATCATTTATTGCTATTTATTTCTGTTTTTCCGTTCTTGCATAGTAAAATGGACTTAATGGATTCACTCAGGGCAGTTTGTCTCATACTCGTGTATATGCATTTAAATTTATACCTTCTAGGCATATGCAGGCGGAAATAATGTCCACGAGGATAGTTGGATCATCTTCAGCATTCAGAGTTTCCGTGGTAGACTGTTTGTTTTATTCTTCATCCGTCATGCCATCTTTTCCCTGTCAATAATCTAGCATTTCAGGTGTGTAGTTGTAACCTCTACCGACAGACACTGTTATACCAGTGAGACCTCAACCAAATCCGTAGTATATAAAAGTTGTTTGCATAAACATATCAGTCCATTAGCCGTTCCATTGTTCTTGTTTTTAAAGTTGTTTGCGCTACTTGGAAAGGATTTTTAGGATTCTCCATGATATTTATGCATGTTTTGTTGTTTTTCTTCTTTATCATCTTTTTTTTAGTTCTTGCACAAGTTCATTGAATGAACTAATTTTATCTGAAATCTCATGTATAATTCCCGGTACCATGTGTTTTGTTCTAGTGTTCTGGGGAAAGTTCTTCCCAGATAGAATTTTTAACCTCCAGCACAAGCAGCTTTCACAACCTCCGCTTGTCTACTGTCCGAGTGTACGACCACTACACCGCCAAAATAGTTCACTTTAGCAAAAGCTGAAGTCCTCGCCGAAAAAAATCTAGGTAAATCCACCGTACACCGAGATTCACACACACACTCACACACACACACAAACACAAAATAGAGGTATAGTAGTTTTCTGATTAGATTTCCCAGTCATCTTTTACATTCCAAGCCTGTCAGCGCCATCTGTGTGTTTGTACTAGAAGAGAAATCAGACTTATTTCAGTCTGATTTCTCTTCTCTATCTTCATTACTAACCTCTTTTGTTAGGACAGCGTCAACTTTCACTTCTTTCGCAGAGCTTCTCCAGTGACGATAAATACTCTGAGTTCTGTTTTATTTGATTAAGATTGTTATCAGTATTACTTTGCTTAACGTAACTATCTGTTCACTAACCATCCATTTGCTTTAGCCTTTAGCAGCTCATGTGCTAAGCGTCTAATCGATTTTCATATTTCCCAGACTATCCTAGCTAATAGTTATGTTCCATTTTTCAGACTAGCGGATGATGTCCAGTTAGTGATTATTTAGTGAAGCTAATATTGAGAAGCAGCCATCACTGGGCTTCTTCATACTGAACATACCCATCTTTGTGAGGAACTTTCCCTAGAAGTTATATGCTGGGCTCTTCAGAGGCAGAAATACTGTTGACAAAGAAATACCAGTTGACAAAGGCCTCAGCTCACACGCCGTGGGACTGGGGATGATCGCTCTCCAGCTGCCCCTGTTCACCTAGCAGTAAGTAGGTATCTGGGTATTAATCGACTGCTGTGGATCACATCCTGGGGAAATGAATTAAAGGATCCTAATGGAAATAAGACCAAGAGACCCCGAAGACGACGGACTTTATTGGATTATCTTAGGTTGTTAACCCTCCAGGTTAAAAATCTGAATAAAATCTTAGCCAGGCAACTCACCTCGTATACCTGCCCCACTACATGTCATGAGCTACATCACCACATCACTGCTACCCAGCTGCCACCTCAACCATCAATGGCAGTCTACATCTGAACTTACTTCCCTTCCCTATCCTTCATTCCAGGACCTTCCAGCTGTCTATCACTGCACCTCTGGGATTCCTCCAAATGCATTTGCAACATAAACGCTTCAGTTTCTTGATTACTTGGTAACACTTCTTCCAGTGCTGTTGTGTGTGTCAATTTGTGAGTATTTTTCTTATCATGTTCACAATTACAACTGAATGCACTGAAATGTTTTAATAGTAATAAGAGTGTTACCCAGCAATGATGAAGGTCTCCTTATCAAAATAGATGGTGTATTTGTCTGCGCTATGCACCAAATTTCTGTGCTCTAGCAGTATTATTTAACTGACTTGTAGGATCATGTTATTGTCATGTTATTCTGCAACATGTCTGAGCACAGTCTTATGCATAATTAAAAGACTGGTTAGACTTCACCAGAGAAACAGTAATTTGTCATCAATGTTTCTGAAGTCTTCTAAAACTTTTCAATATATTGATGAAGCGTAGGCTTCATCAATATATTTTAATATCCCAGCCATGAATCTCTTTCAAAGTTTTGATAGAGATTATCAGCCTCACTCACCTGACTGGCAGCGCCTTGTAGTCTGTTCTTAACTTAGTTTCTTTACTCAATATTTAGTTTACTAAAACCTTTAAGAAAAGTGAAAAAAAAGATGGTGTCATTAAATTGTGAACATTTGATTTGTGGTGTATTAGCATTCTTAATATTTTCTGTTTTATATAATACTGGATTAATATAATGTATGTTATAATTTGGTAACTGACATGATCCTAAGCTATCCTAAATTAACTTATTCTTTCATAGCTAAGCCATGCTTTATTTTTCCTAGCTTATCCTAACCTCACCTAGCTAACATAACGTATTTTAACCCATTCTAAACCAACATAACATATATACAGAATGTCTAGACAAATTGGCAGCGAGTCACACAGCACAAAATTAACAACGTTGAGTTACAAAGACAAGCCATTCTTAAATTAATGTTCCGGTTTTAATGCAAAGCCACTGATTTATGCTGAGCCTGCAATTTTTGCTGAACCTGCAATATTTGCAGTCTGCTATCTTTGCAGAGTCAGTAGTCTTTGCAGAGCATGGATTCCTTTGCAGAGCCTCCAATCTTTACAAGGCCTGCAATCTCTGTAGAGCCTTCAATCGTTGAAGAGTCTACAGTATTTATAGGGCTTTCAGTCTTTCCAGAGCCATCTATGCAATATTTACCGAGTCTACAATCTTCGCAGTTCCTGCAATCTTAGCAGTGTGTGCAATCTTTGCAAAGCGTGCAACATTTTGAGGGCTTCCAATTTTTGCAGAGCTATCTATGCTTATTAATCTCTCACGGTTTTGCAAACAAGCAAGTGTAAATTTTCGAAACAAATCTGTCTAGAGACTGTTGTGAATGTAAGAAGGAAGCAAGAGGCTATAATTACGGTTTGAGAAAAAATGTTGAAATGGTGTATGTTGATGAGTAAAGAGTTAAGAAGGATGATAAAGAGTGTTAGGAGAGGGACTGAAAAGAGTTAGGGGGTGAAAGAGTTAAGGTTATATGACTGACTCAAATTAAAATAATAGGAAACATTGAGGAGAAGCGTTACTTACCGAAAGACACTGTGCATAAGGACACCAGGATGGTCACCAAAAGGCATAAGAGGAACCTCTCAAGGCAGGGGTTGAGTCCTATCACCCAGTATATGATGGAGGTGTACAGAATGGAGTACATGCTGAAGAAGGGAATCTCCACCAGGTTTTTGGCCAGGAAGTAGACATCTGAGCGATACATTCCATTAAAGTGTTCCCGTAGAAAGAGTTCCCTTTGCGAGCAGAATGTCTGAAGTAACAATAACATTGTCGATGTTACCATTGGAATAGTTCTGAGAAGTTACCTATGTAAACAAAATGTCTGAAATAACAAATAACAATAACATTTTGATGTTTCCAATGAAATAGTCCTGTGAGCAGAGTTTCTGACAGCAAGAACACTGTACCAATTACCACTGGAGTATTCCCTAAGGAAATTGCCTAAAATAGCAAAAACATTTTAGCAGATAGAAACATTTTGTACAATAAAATTATTCTATAATGCTATGTAGTGATTCTGTGTTTTGTAAATATTATGGAAACCCAACCTCCGATATGCCAGTCCGTGCTTGACCACTGATTCTTGTGACCGGTATGCCAGTGTTTGCTTGATTACTGAGTCACAACGACAACGGCTGGTTACATACCGATACTAATTAAAGGTAAGCCTGAGTGTATTTAATTATTGATACTCAGCACTGGTATTTCAATAACAGCCGAATCATTGATACCCAGCAATGGAAAGCCTTCACTAATGATACACAGCACGAAAGAATATTTCTTTTATACGCAACAATGAAAATCCACTGATGGTATCATTGGTGGTACCTACCTCTGGTGTAAGACTAGGTGCCAAATTACTGATTCCTTATATTCGTACATTTGCAGATCCTTAATTAATGATACCAAGCAGTGAACCATCAGATACCTAACACTATAACACCACTGGTTCTTTAGTCATTTATGTTCATCATGAGTGTACCAGTGTACCAGTGTACCAGTGTACCAGTACACCAGTGTACCAGTATGCCAGTGTACCAGTATGCCAGTGTACCAGTGTACCAGTGCACCAGTGTATCAGTGCACCAGTGTACCAGTGTGCCAGTGTGCCAGTATACCAGTGCCCCAGTGTACCAGAGTACCAGGACCTCAGCGTACCAATGCCACAGTGTACCAGTACATCAGGGTACCAGTATACCAGTGTACCACTGTACCAATAAACCAGGGTAACAGTGTACCAATATTCCAGTGTACCAGTGTATCAGTGCACCAGTGCACTAGCGTTCAAGTGCACCACCGTACCAATATAACAGTGAATCAATATACCAGTGTACCAGTGTACCAATATACTAGTGTGCCAGTGTACCACTGTACCAATAAACATTCGTACAAATATACCAATATACGAGTTAACCAGTGCATCAGTGGACCAATGCACCAGTGTACCAATATACCAGTGTACCAGTTTGTCAGAGCATCAGTGTACTAGTGTTCCAGAGAACAAATGTCCCAGTGTACCAATATACCAGTTAACCAGTGTACCAGTATTCCAGTTCGCCAGTGTACCACTGAACCAATAAACCAGCGTACAAATGTACCAATATACAAGTGTATCAGTGCACCAGTGTACCAGTGCACTAGTGCACCAGTGTACCAGTGCACCTGTGTACCAGTGCATCGGTGTACCAGTTTACTATTACAACAGTGCTCCAGTGTACCAGTGCACCAGTGTGCCAGTTGACCAGTATACCAGTGCACCATTGCACCAGTGCTCCAGTGTGCTAGTACACCAGTGTACCAGCGTACAAATGAATCAGTGCATCAGTGTACACCAGTGAGCCAGTGTACCAGCATACAAGTGCGCCAGTGTGTCAGTGTGCTAGTGCACCAGTGCATCAGTGTACCAGTGCACCATTGCACCATTGCACCAGTATGCCAATGTACCTGTACACCAGTAGTCAAGTTTACAAATTTATTAGTGTACTGGTGTACCAGTGCATCAGTGTACCATTGCACTAGTGCTCGAGTGTACCAATGCACCAATGTACCAGTGATACAATGTACCAGTGCACCAGTTTACCATTGTATCAGTGCTCCAGCGTACCAGTGTGCAAGAGCACCTGTGTACCAGTACACCAGTATACCAGTGTGCCAGTGCACCAGTAAACCAGTGTGCCAGTGTACCAGTGCACCAGTGTACCAGTGTACTATTACACCAGTGCTCCAGTATACCAGTGCATCAGTGTGCCAGTTCACCAGTGTACCAGTGCACCAGTGCACCAGTGTGCCAGTGCACCAGTGTACCAGTGTACCAGTGCACCAAGGTACCAGTGTGTCAGTGTACCAGTGCACTAATATACCAGTGTACCATTCCACCAGCGCTAAAGTGTTCCAGTGTACACCAGTGTACCAGTGAACCAGTGCACCAGTGTACCAGAGTATCAGTGCACCAGTGTACCAGTGTATCAGTGCACCAGTGTACCAGTGTACCATTGCATATTGCTCCAGTGTACCAGTGCACCAGTGTACCAGTGCAACAGTGTACCAGTACAAAAGTGTACCATTATATCATTGTACCGGTGAACCAGTGCACCAGTGTACCAGAGTACCAGTACACCATTGTACCAGTGTGCTAGTGTACCAGTGCAACCAGATACCATGCTCCATTACCAGTGCACCATGACCAGTGCACCAGTACACCAGTGTACCAGTGTTACCAGTTACCCAGTGCACCATGAACCAGTATCGGTGAACATGCACCATGTAGCACAGTGTGCCAGTGTATAAGCACCATGAACCAGTGCACCAGTGTACCAGTACACCATGTCCACTGTACCAGTTGAACCATTGAACCAGTGTACCGGACCATTGCACAATTATCAGTGCACCAGTGTACCTGTTACACCAGTGTACCATTATATCATTTTGAACCAGTGAACCAGATACCATTGCACAATTATCCAGTGTACCACTGCACCAGTGTACCAGTAATTATCAGTGCACCAGTGTTCCAGTTACAAGCCTAGTGCACCATTATACCTTTGTATCGGTGATAACAGTGCACCATGTACCAGTATATCACCAGTGTACCAGTGTGTTACATTTTATGTCCATGCACCAGTGTAACCTGTGTACAGTGTAACCATTGCACAGCTCCATTCGCCAGTGCACCAGTGTATCTGTGCACCGTGTAACCAATCTACCATGCAACAAACAGTGTTATCTTCTTTACCAATGCTGCATGTACCAATACCATTTTTACCATGCACCAGTAAACCAATGTTTACAGTGCAAACACAGTGTACCATGCAACACCAGTAAACCAGTTCCACAATATTCTATGCAACACCAGTGTGTACCAGGTTACGCAAGCCTCAGTACAAACACTGAGTTTATACTAGAACCCAGTACCAGCACATGTGTACATTAAACAGTGCACCATTACACTGCACCATTGGCCAGTGTACCAGTGAATATTGTGCCATGCCTGTGAACCATGTAACAGATGTACATTGCACCAGTATACACGAGTAACCAGTGCACCATTGGTTCTAAATCACTAATAACACTAAGACATCAACAAACAAGTGTTTCTTCTTCATTAAGACGCATTACTGGTACGGCAGAGGTTCTTTAATTACTAAGACAACACCAGTAAGACAATGTTTACTGAAACACTGAGAGTATTATCACTAAGACAACACCAGTAAGACAATGTTTACTGAAACACTGAGAGTATTATCACTAAGACAAGACCAGTAAGACAATGTTTACTGAAACACTGAGAGTATTATCACTAAGACAACACCAGTAAGACAATGTTTACTAAAACACTGAGAGTATTATCACGAAGACAACACCAGTAAGACAATGTTTACTGAAACACTGAGAGTATTATCACGAAGACAACACCAGTAAGACAATGTTTACTAAAACAGAGAGACAGAGACAGACAGACTGAAACTAAGCAGAGAAAACTTGAACCATTTTATAGACAATACAAGTTCAGTCTCTTCAAGGGAAAACGGAGGCCAAGATTTAAGGAAAAATTTACATATAGGAATTTGTAGATGAATGGTTCAAAGAACCGACATGTTGATAAATTAGACACATGTGCAACTCTTGGGTATCTTTATTGAGGAAACGTTTCGCCACACAGTGGCTTCATCAGTCCATACATAGGAGAAAATTGAATAACAGGAGGAGAATGAGGTAATCAGTCCCTCAACCTTGAGTCGATAAGAACATAAGAACATAAGAAAAGAGGCACACTGCAGGAGGCCTGTTGGCCCATACTAGGCAGGTCCTTTACAATTCATCCCACTAACAAAACATTTGCCCAACCCAATTTTCAATGCCACCCAAGAAATAAGCTCTGATGTGAAAGTCCCACTCAAATCCAACCCCTCCCACTCATGTACTTATCCAACCTAAATTTGAAACTACCCAAAGTCCCAGCCTCAATAACCCAACTAGGTAGACTATTCCACTCATCAACTACCCTATTTCCAAACCAATACTTTCCTATGTCCTTTCTAAATCTAAACTTATCTAATTTAAATCCATTACTGCGGGTTCTCTCTTGGAGAGACATCCTCAAGACCTTATTAATATCCCCTTTATTAATACCTATCTTCCACTTATACACTTCGATCAGGTCTCCCCTCATTCTTCGTCTAACAAGTGAATGTAACTTAAGAGTCTTCAATCTTTCTTCATAAGGAAGATTTCTAATGCTATGTATTAATTTAGTCATCCTACGCTGAATATTTTCTAACGAATTTATGTCCATTCTGTAATATGGAGACCAGAACTGAGCTGCATAATCTAGGTGAGGCCTTACTAATGATGTATAAAGCTGCAGTATGACCTCTGGACTTCTGTTGCTTACACTTCTTGATATAAATCCCAGTAATTTATTTGCCTTATTACGTACGCTTAGGCATTGCTGTCTTGGTTTAAGGTTGCTGCTCACCATAACCCCCAAGTCCTTTTCGCAATCTGTATGGCTAAGTTCTACATCATTTAACTTATAAGTACTAGGGTTATGGGCACTCCCGAGCTTCAGGACCTTGCATTTATCTACATTGAACTGCATCTGCCACTTTTCTGACCAAGAATAGAGTTTGTTTAAATCCTCCTGAAGTTCCATAACATCTACGTTTGAATCAATTATCCTACCTATCTTTGTGTCATCGGCGAATTTGCTCATATCACTAGCAATTCCCTCATCAAGATCATTGATATATA